ACACACACACACACACACACACACACACACACACACACACACACACAAAACCAAACAACAGGTAAGGTAGGGAGCTGTAAACACAGATCACCACAACCAGGCTGTCTCCTCTTCAGCAGAAAAGCAGTATCATCTCTGAAGGGACAGGCATAGCCCATAGGCCCCTGAACACAGCTGGGCGTCCATCAACCATAGGGACATTAACCATCCAAGCTGCAATAACAGTTACCTCATTTCCAAATTAACCCTGTCTGTGCCATTGTCTGTGTTATGCTCGTGGCTGAGGTGAGCCCAAGTCTGGGCAGATCATCCCATATGCCAGCTGCTGTCTGTGTTGGCTGGTAATGGCTCCAGCTGCCTCCTCCTCTGGAAACTGCCTTCCATGCCCAGAGACCGCTGTGCTGGGCCGGGCCTCCCCTGGCAGTGGGTGGGCGGTGGGTGGTGTGTGCTCTGTCTCAATCTGGCAATGCAGTCTCTTGTGAGAGCAGGTTGTGGTTCTAGCAGAGATCTCATCCTTTTGATCTTCTCTTGTTGAATGCTTTTCCTTGCCTTCTCTTCTAATCCAGGGCATTCCCTCTGTAGATTACTTGACAAACTCTCACCTCAGGCTCACCTAGGAAACCCAATCTAGACAGCTCCACTGAAGTATGATTGTTCTGCAAGTTTACCTCATCGAACTTTCTTCACCTAGCCACAAAATAGGGAAAGGGATACACACTCACCTGACGGCATTCAGAGGAGGAAAGGAGAGAAGGCCCCATCTGTGTTAGACCACAGGGGCTGCACCTGTTGAGTACCTTAGCAACCAGCATCAAACAGCCAAGGATGGTGGGGAAAGGAGGCCAGGTTCCTAAATCACGGCCTTATGTGTCATCTAGCTCCTTCACTAACCTGCTAAACTCAGAGACCATTCTCTCCTTCAGCTCAGCCACTCCTACCCTGGAGTATATAAACGTAAGGACTTCTTTTGCTCGGAGTTACTGATGGATCTCCTATCCCCGCTTCCCTCACTTTGAGTGCTGGAACTATTCAAGGATCTGATCACCTGAAAAAGACTGCAATCACAATCTGTCTACCAAACCTGGGAAAAGTGTCTAATGGGCTGGAGCTGTGGCCCAGTGGTTATGAGCACTTCCTGTCCTTGCAGAAGATCCAAGTTCAGTTTCCAACACTCAGATTAGATAGTTCACAACCATCTGAGACTCCATCTCCAGGGATTCCATGGGTACCTGCACTTACATATGTGTGTGTGCATACATATACATACATACACATAATTAAAAATAACATGAACAATGTCTGGGGACTGGAAAGATGGCTCAGCAGTTAAGAGCACTGCCTACTCTTACTGAGGCTGGTTTTATTTCCAGCATCCACATGGAGGCTCACAAGCATCTGTAACTCCAGGTCCTGGAGATGTAATACCCTCTCCAGGCCTCTACAGGTACTGCATACAGGTATTATACATACATGTAAGCAAAATACCCACATACTTAAAATTACAAGAAAACCTCCTAGCAACAACAAAACAGTGTCTAATCATGTTCTCCCCACCATTACTTGTTCACTCCCTTACCCTTGGGAGGGAGGCTGGTAAAACACTGAGAACAAACCTCTAAAGCCCAACGGCTATGACAAAGAGGGAGCGAGAGGCGACTGTCCAAGTCTTACCGATGGGGACAGAGGAGATCTGAGAATACAGGTCCAGCATGCGGTTGCCATCCACATCCACTAGGTAATTACCTCGGCTCTCTTCATAGTTGCAGAAAAAGTGCACGGCCTCTGCGTTCTTGGGAGAGAGGAAACTGGTTCAGGCTTGCTACTCCTCCTCAGATGCCTAGTCTTTTAGGAATAAGCTTGAACTGTGGAAACAGACTGCATCCTGTTTGTTCTATACCACATGGGAATCTGTGGGTGCTGGCAAGCTTCTGTGTCTTTCTCTGGGAGAAACGCCACAAGTGGATTGTTTTAAATTTGTTCATGAAGCCATGGTCTTGTATTTTGTGAAAATTTATGTCTGGTTTGTTTATCACAACAAAAAAGGTTGAGCAATAACTCAGAAGCAAGCTTTGACAAACTAAAGAATATGTGGTAAGCCACAGAGAAGCCACTAAGAAAACTAGAGACAAATAGAAATTAAGAAATAAAAACAGGGGCTGGAGAGCTGGCTCAGTGGTTAAGGGCTGTATTGTTCATGCGGGGAACCCATGTTCGGTTCTGAGCACTCATGTGAGGTGGCTCACATCTGTCTGCAGCTCTGGCTCCAGGGGGATCTGAACCCCTCTTCTGGCCGCCACGGGCAACTACACATATGCACATACACATACAGACATACACACATAAATAAAAACACCAAAAAAAGAAACAGTACAAGGAGCCACCTTGCACCCACTTACTTGGATTGTGTTCAGCTGTCTCATTAACTCCTGCAGGCAAGAACAAAAGCATCAGCCACATGCGATGAGCTCCTGCCACAGCTCAAATGTCTCCTATGTTCTCCCAGTTCTTGAGGCTTTGTTTTCTATTCTGATGTCAAGAACTTAGTAGACTATTAGTCAATATTATAAATAGTTTAAATTACTTAATATAAACAATTGATAAAAATCTACACCACAACACAGTAGGTGGCAATTATAATAGACAGATTAGAGATTCAGATTTAAGTACCTGAAAAAGAAAAGGAAGTAAAATTTATTTTTCAGAGATAGGTCTAATTGCCTAGATCTCAGTAAGTAGACTAGGTTGTCCTCAAACTTACAAAGCCACGCCACCTCTTTTTTTAGAGTTCTGGGATTAAGGGTTTTTGTGCCACCACACCCAGTCTGGAAGTATGTATGCAATAAAAAAATTCATGCTGAAGGCATTTGATATAAAAAAAAATAAGGGATTCTTTCCTTTTCTTCTCCTTTTTTGTGGTGCTGGGGATAGAACCCAGGTATGTCTGTGCTGGGAAAGTGCTCTCCATCACTAGCCCTCATTTTATTTTACATTTTTATTTATTTTATTTTGTTTGTGGGTGGGTCTATATCCACCACATTGCACGTGTGAAGGTCAGAGAACAACTTGCAGAAGCTAGCTTTTCCTTCCACCAGATGGGTTACTGAGACTCACTCCCGAGTCATCGGGCTTCGTAGCTGGTGCCTGTATCAGCCAAATGTGCCAGCCCATGTCCTCATTTTTAAAAGCCCAGTCACGTTGAAGCAATGACTCAGAAGTTAAGAGCAGTGAACCAGGTTCAATTCCCAGCATCCATATGGCAATTCATAACTGTCTGTAACTCCAGTTCAAGGGATCCAAACACTGCTTCCAGCTACCATAGGCATTGAAAGCACATGGTACATAGCCTTATATGCAGCAAAAAAACAAAAAACAAAAAACAAAACACCCACACACATAAAATTATTAACCAAAGCTTAGTGGTAAAGCATTTGACGAGTATGCACAAGGCCCTGCATTTGAAGCTTGAACTCTATCACTAAGAGAGAGAAAAGAAAAGATGTAACTCCCATCCTGGCCTCCCACATTCTTCTCTTTCATTTTTTAGACTTCATTCCTCCATTAGTTTTGTAATTATACTTGTTGCCTTATGGCCACTACAGCTTAATGTCCACCTGTGATGTCCTGGTCATTGAATGCAGTGCTTTGCCTCCATTTTTATTCTAATTTATTTATTTATTTATTCAATCAACAACACCTCATCCATGAGATGACTATTTTGTGACCTCGCTCATAATATTACTTCCATGTAGAAAGCCCCTTTTTCTTGTTTTTGCTTGGCTAAATCTTATCAAAGGGTCAGCTTCAAATTCTACTTTTACCTCTATTTCATTTAGAAAATTTTCTCCATGACCACTTACTTTGAATTCCAAATTTTAACCCTCATTTATTGAGTAATGACAGTCAAGAGTGCTCTTACTTATTCATCATATATCATTTAGTTGCTTTTGACCACCTTTTGAGCCCTCTGATCTCATGGTAAGAAACATGTCTGAGGTGTTTTCCTACACAGGCTTTTGAAATCTTTCCTTGTTCTGCTGTCAGGTCTTATTTTCTGGAATTTGACATCCAGTTTCTTCGCATTTGATTTTGATTGAAATGGCTTGGCAAATTTATTGTGCTTCATGCAAATCTGTTTTTCTTGTGGATCTATATGCAAAGTAAACACCAATTTGATTTCCTATCCTTAGTGCTAACTTAAAAAAAAATGGGAAATGTGAATGTTCCTTTCATCAAACTTAAAGACTTTAACAAAGAGGACTTGATAATATGGTTTATCTTTGCTATGTAAATAAAATTGAGATTTAAAAATTAAAAAAAAAAAAAGATGTAACTCCCTTATCAGGAACCAGGGGCAAAATCAGCTGACAATATTAATTGGCTCAACAAAGAATCACTTCTGATTACAATTCACTCTCCCCAATTCCAAACAGGAACTAGGAACAGAAAACCAGTTGCTTTGATATTAACAACATCTTAGCCTCCAAAATCATTGAGCATAAAAGAAATTTGAGCTGTTAGCATTTTGATGGTACATATTTCCACACAAATATAAAATAATATTAACAACAAAAGTATGAAAAGGTGCTGGCTGGTGGTGGCTCACCCCTTTAATTCCAGCATTTGGGAGGCAAAAACAGGCAGATCTCTATGAATTTGAGGCCAGCCTGGTCTACAGAGTGAGTTCCAGGACACCCAGGGCTTGTGTAGAAACAAGCCCTGCTTCTACAAGGTTCTCTGTGTGAGAAACCTTGTCTCAAAAAAAAAAAAATGAAAAGTTATTCTAGGCATTTCTCTATTAAATTAGAATCTACCCCAAAAGAAATATACATAAAAGTTCTTTCCTTCTGTTTGACAAAAAAAAAAGCATTCAAAAGAAATATAAACACATACATTAAGATAAATCTTTCTGACCTCATCTAGCAAAGGCATGATCTTTTTACAGTAAATAAAGACAGCATCTCACTGTGGAAAAAAATGTGATAAATCTGAGAGAGAGAAAACAAACAAACAAACAAACAAACAACCCCAAAGCATTGGAGGGCTTATACCGTATCTCTTGCCAAGAAGGCAACTGCTCTTATTTGTCTTATGGAGAGAGCCTCCCAGATGTCCCAGGCTGGCCTTGAACTCTTTACATAGCAGAGAATGACCCTGAACTTCTGCTTCATCTGCTTCTACCTTCCAGGTGCTGGGATTACAGGCATGATCCACCAAGCCCAGCTTGACCATCTTCAAACCAGGCCTGAAGAACTCATCTTATTTCAATTGGGTTAGAATACAAAGTAATGAATTTCATCACAGCACGCTTGTTTTTCATCGTTTCTGTCTTTTATTCCCTGCCCCATGTCCTCTGCCTGACTCTGGCTCCTTTCCCTTCTTTCCCAAGTTAGTCCCACATTTTGCTTCGTTATCACGTGTGCAGATTGCCTTCTTTATGTTAGATTTATCTTAGTCTTTCAAGATCAAAGCCAGCCACAGGTCTTTGATGCCCAGGCCCTATGCTGTAACTTCTGGTATCACTTGGGCCTTTGGCTTCAGCCCTTAACTCTGGACTGACAGTGAGCCATGCAACTTGCTTTAGCCAATAGAACAGGTGGGAGAACTTGAGAGTCAGGATGGAGCTTTCATCTCTACAGATTTACAGCAAGAGCAGAACAAGCCTAGTGTGACCAGCTGAAGGACCAGTGACCCATGGAGCAAAGCAAGTCACTGAAGACAGCAGCTGACAGCCAGACACCCCTTAGGCCTGCAGATGGCTCCCACAAGGCCACCTCCCTACCTAACTTCTGGCTAGCCCTAAATGCAGGAGCAATCTGGATGCCACACATTCCAGTCTGTGACTGGCTGTTAGGCAACATCCTCATCACAGCAGACACGAGACACTCTTGAAGCCTCCACAATAGCCTGGTTTGTTTTCTAGTAGAGGCTCTGAAAGTGCCCCGAAGCTGCCTGTATACCTGCCTCCTGGGTCTTTGCCTCAGGTGTGGTTGACTCACCTGAGATCTAGGCCCTGGGACTTCTGTCTTCATCAGTGGCCCATCATAATCAAATTCAAAGTCAACTTTGGCAGCAGCTTGACTGATGTATCTGGATCCTATAAGACAGAAGACAAATGGGAACCCCTGGTGACAAGTTACAGGGAGGATCAGCCCCAGCTGATGCCTCAGTCCTAAACAGGTGGTCCTGGGAGCTCAGCTTTGTTCTGACAAGGCCACCCCAGAATAGCGCATGTGAACAAATCTAGACACTGCAAGAACAATGAAGATTCCAAAAGGGAAAAGTCAGGGCCAGTGAAGTTGTAGGAAAGCAGGCATGCTCCCATTCCAAGGCAGCAAGATGAGCTGCCCCAGCTTTCTGTTCCATCCTGTGCAGTCATTTCACTTCTTAAACTTATCTTTGCTTACAGGTACGTGTGTATGTGCTTGCTAGAGTTACAGGTGGTTGTGAGCTGAGTGTGTGGGTACTGTGTGAGCAGCAGATGTGCTTACCTGATGAGTCATCTCCTCAGCACCCCGATCTCACAGAGAAAGAAAATGTGGACCTAGCGTACCCAGCTCCTAACATGTGAGGCCGCACCCTGCCCCTTAGGTACACTCGCTGCCCCAGACTCACTTCTGTGGTTTTCTTTGCTCCTTGGCACTAACCACAACACTGAGGCCTCCTTTCTGTGTCCTTCAGGCTTAGAGGCTACCAATCCTGAGCAGAGTGGCTCTACACCCTTCCTACTTGAGAATTGTCCCCTGTGGTCAAGGGTGATGAAGTGGGTAACAATGGAGACAGTCTCACCAAAGAACGCTAGAAAAGAAGCCAGCAGATCCTTCTACCCTCAAGGACTCTGACCATAAACACCATGTCTCTTGAGGACCTTGGAGGGCTTACCAGATGCAAAGAGGCAGAGGTTTCTCTGGGAGCTAAAGGTCAGCCGTCGGGTGACTAACAAGAAGGCCATGACTCCCTTCTTCAGAAAGAGGACGCCTTTCACTTGCTGCTGTCCTGAAAGAGACCAAGAACACAGACTTACACCCATGGGGAACACACCACTGCAATCTAAACCTTAGGACACATAAATTCCTTTGCTGTATGCAGAATACTCTCTTTAATCAAATATATTTTGTACTGAATATACACTTTAATTTACATGTTTTTTTTTTTTTTCCATCTTCCACATTCCAGACAGGATGAGCATACCACTTTCTAGATGGAAAAACAGAGGCTCAGAGAAATGGTTCAATTGGCAAAGTCCTTGCTATGCAACACGAGGACCTGAGTTTGAGCTCTAAATCCATGAAAAAATTTGGGTGAAGTAGCACATCTAAGTCCCTTCTGTAAATGAAGAAAGCTAGTGGTGTTGCCTTCAAGGATGTCCCCCTGTGCAAAAGGAAACATGAGGAATAAGGGGAAGGAGTTCCTACCTGAACAATACCTTTGCAAGCAAGTGTAGAAGTTTCTTTGCAGACTAGCCACCTTTGTTTTACTTGCCAGCAGTAGCTGGAGTAGTTTTATTGTTTGTGGATGGAGTTCTTGATGGACACTGGGCAGTAGTAGATTCTGTGCAACGTATCTTTTGTCTCCGGGGGGTCCATTCCGGAGCTCACTGTGCTGAGTTCTCAACACTTCTTGAGTGGGAAGGCTGTCCTGTGAGTGTGGGCTGAAGTGCTCCAAAGTATACTGTCTGCTCAGTTGTCCAGTAAATATCCTCCCCCCATTTCAGATCTGAGAAGGGCCACTCTCAGGACTGACCACATTGGTCATGGGACTTCCTGACCCCCAAACGGTGGTTTACTTGTAAGAGGCTAATTAATTCAGTTAACCTAGCCACAGTAGATACAGGGCTTGAACAAATGAAAAGCCAGTGTAATTCAAGGCTGAGAATGGCAGCTCATGACTTTAATCCCAGAGCTTAGGAGGAAGGGGTGGGCAGACCTCTGTGAGTTGGGGCCTACTCTCCATCGTGAATTCCAGGCCAGCCAGAGGCTACACTGTGAGATCCTGTCTCAAAAAGGAAGTGATTTAGAGACTCCATTTTATTTCCTTTCATAAGAGAAAAAAGTAGAGAGAAAACAATAGGCTTTAAACTGTGACCACGAATTAACTTAGAAAGCATATTCTTCTCTTGACAATTTAATTAGTTTTTAAAAAGTTGATTCTAATATATCCAACTCAAGGCAAGCCATTAATTCAGCAGCAGAGTAACTATGTAGAAAAGGCAGTCGCCGCCTCTCATTTAAGGCCGTTTGTCTCAGAGCACTGAGATTTCACATAGTTCAAGTGTTTCCCTTTAAATATGTTTTTGAAGGGCTGGAGAGATGGCTCAGCAGGATCGTCGGGCAGAGGACCTGGGTTCAGTTCCCAGCACTGACATGGGAGTTCACAACTGCTGGTAACTTGTTCCACGGGATCTGCTGCCACGGGATCTAAGGTCTTCAGGCAACGAGCACATATGTAGCACATGTTGGCAAAACACTCAAACATAAAATAAAATGAAATTAATCTAATTTTAATGAAAAAATAAATAATATGTTTTTGAGAATGCAAGAGTGAGCGTTAATGTTTGAATAGCCCAAAAAGTGTCACACCCGTGCACTTTCAGTGACAAGTCACTTTGGAAAACATGTCCTAGTGATGTGTGACGTTCTGGTGCCCTGCTGCTGAGGCTCACTTCTTAACAGAACAATCTCCATCAGCCATTCATTCTCAACGGTATATTTTTAAACAATCAGAAGAGTCCCTGTTCACTCACTTTCTTGCCTACTAATTCAATCAACAAGAGTTAATTAAGCAGCTCTTATAGGCAAGGCACTTGAATCATTTGGGCATAGGAGGAAGAAAAATGGGTAAAACATGCTCAGAATTCTTTGGCAGAGGGACTATGATCAGAGAAGGGGAGAATTCAATGTACTAGGCTGCTTTATTCATCCTGTCATTAACTTCTTAAAATAACCGGGCAAGGTACGCATGTAAAAGGTTTCCAGTTCACTGTCAGCAATGAACTTCACATAACACAAAAGCAGAGGCCGGGCATGGCAGTGCACCCGCAATCTCACCTTTTGGGAGGCTGATACAGCAGGACCCTGAGTGCAAGGCCAGTCTGGGAGGGGAGGGATTTGCTGGAGCGGACCCCAAGCACAGTGGCTATTCTGGCTGCCGGCAGAGAGACATTTCTAGGACACTAGGCTCCCTAGCTGCCACCAGATTTCCCGAGAGTAGCAGAGGACATGCATTCACCACAGAGTTACCCTTAGCATGCAATAGGCTTATTGTGGAACTCCTTTATGGGAGAGAAGCTAGAGCAGGCCAGGGAATAGCTCCACGGCCCTGAGTCTTGATGTTGGCATGGATGCTCGAACATCTGGGTTCTGCCCTTATATGATGCACACATCTGTAATCCCAGAACTGGACAGAGCCCCTCTGTGAGGCTTTAAATGAGAATGTGCCCACAGGTTCTGTATTTGAACACTCAGTTCCCAGTTGGTGGCACTGTTTAGGGAGGTTTAGGAGGTGTGGACTTGTTGGGAGAAGTATGCCACTGGAAGCAGCCTTTGACAGTTTAACATCACACCATTTCCAATTGCTCTCTGTTTCATGCCCCGGGATACGAGGTGTCAGTTTGCTGCTCCAGCCACGCCTGCCTGCTGTCTCCCACCTCCATGGTGATGGACTCTGGAATTGCAGGCTCAGATAAACCCATCCTTCTCTAAGTGACCTTGGTCATGGTGTTTTATCATAGCAATAGAAAAATAACTAATACACTGTGGCAGGATTATGGAGTTTAGGGCCAGCAAGGGCTACTATATAGCAAGACCCTATCTCAATCAATAAATGAATAAAAGAATTATGGCTTCTTCCTAAAAAATCCTCCTCCTCCCCCATGCGTGGCACGCACATACAGAAATGTAGAGGTCGGAGGACAAACTCTAAAAGTCAGTTCTCTCCTTCCACAATATGGGTCTCGGCAACTGAGTTTAGATTCTCAGGTTTTGTTGCAAGTGCCTTTACTGGTTAAGCCATCTTGTCAGCTCAGAATTATAGGTTCTGTGAGAGCCAAGGTTATATTTTCAGTTTTAATTATTGTGCCTAAGAGAACCATAAAGCAAAAATGCCTCTAATCTGTAAGCCAGTCACCCAAGGACAGGCCCTTCTGGGATGCTGGAGGCCCTTGTTTATGCTTCCATAATAGGTCACATGCTTTCACTCCCCTAAACAAGTCTGTTTGACCCAACTGCATAGGATGTTCTTGATCACATGTAGGAGAGGTTTGTAGGCAGGAGGTACGCCAGGATGTATGCTTGCCCCTGATTGGATGTGGGTGGGAGGCATGCAGGCAGAAAATACCACACGGTGTGTGCTTGCCTCAGATTGGACCTGGTGGGAAATACGCAGCCTGATGGATCCATCTTTATAAGCCTCCGAAAAATGTGACTTGTCACCATTTCCTGGGAACTCTGGAATGGACCTGGCAGAGTCCATCATCCTGGCCAGTATCTAATTAAAGCTTGCTTCAGATTTGGCTCAAAATTGTGGTAGCAGTCTTATTCTTCGCTGGTGGGATTAACAGTTCCTAACGAGGGCATAGCTGTTCTCACCTGTCATCTTAGCACTCAGGGAGACTAAGTCCAGCTTGGCTTCCATTGAGAGACTCTAATTAAAGACAACAACAAAAGTCTATGAGTTCCTCAAGAAATTAAACGGAATTGCCAAGTAACAGATTCCACTCAGACATTATGCAACAAGGAAATTGAAAACAAGACTTGAATACACTATTTCATATGCTCACTGCACCATTGTTCGCCATAGCCAAGAGGCTAGCATAATCCAGTGTTCATCAATGGATGAGTAAACATAGAAACGAACAAAGGACAGACATGCCGCAGACAAAGCTGCATGTTAGAAGTTCCATTGATGTGAATGTGATGAATGGGAAAATCCAGGGCTGTCGAGGTAGTTCAGTTGGTAGAGTTTGCCTAGTGTACATGAAGCCATGGGTTCTTTCCCAATACTGCTAGGCTTGGTGGTGCTGGCTAGCTATCCAGGGCCTCTGAGGTGGAAGCAGGAGGAAGTTCAAGGTCATTCTTAGATATGTTTTGAGTTCTAGGATAGCCTGCTCTATATGAGACCTTGTCACAAAACAACGAACACCCTCCATTCCCCACCCAGCCAACCGAGCAAATGGATAGACTGGGAAACTAGCTGAGGATAGAGAGGCTAACAATCAGTGGGACCTTTTCCTTTGGCATGATCAGAAACAAAAGAGAAATCTAGAATCAACTAAGAGCATGGTGAGTATCAGATTGCCTGGCAGACCAAGAGAACTTGAGCTTCAGCTGAGCAGTGGCTCTGCGGTAACTCTGGTCTCCCCTCCACCAAGCCACTCGGAAAGATTCCGGTCTATCCTGATAGCTGCTGCCTCCATCCTGCCCACCCCTCCTATCCCCTCTCCTTTAATTAAAATGCTAACTGGTTCCTGTGCTTCTGCTTATCTGCCCTGTGCAATGGGAGAGTGAGCTGGAGGGGGACAGGTTCAAATTTCTGATCCACAAGGTGAGAAGAATTTAGCCAAAATGGCAGGGTAGAAAACTAGAACCACCTCTTCCACTTCAAATCCTTCTAATCTGCTCTGGCGGAGTCACTCGGCCTTGCAGTGCTTGCTTGGTAAGCACAATGCCAGGATCACATAAAAACAAACAACACCCAAACAACAAAACCCTTGCAGGGCATCTACTCTGCAGGGACAGCGACAGGAGCAAAGAAAGGCCTCCACTCACATTTATTACTTCCCTGCTACATTCAAGGCTTTTCTTTTTCTCTTTTTAAGACAGGGTTCTAGGTAGCCCAGGATGACCTGGAAGCCACCTCCTGAGTGCTGGGATTGCAGCTATGTACCACCACCACTGGTTTCGTGCTGGAACTGAACCCAAGGCTCCAGGCATGCTAGGCCAAAATTTGGTCCACTGGTCCACCTCCCCAGCCTTTGATATCTACCTTAATTTGTCAGC